CTGAATTGAGTGAGCAGGAACAAGAACAGTGAATGGTGCTGAGAAGGAAAGCTTGGAGAGGGGCACTCTCCATAACATGACAATTTAACTTGATGACAGACTTCTCTGGCTAAACTAACCACATCTGCTGGCCACATCCATCCCGTACACTGCCAGTTGGCAACCCACAGTATGGGAGAGAAAAAGAAAAAAATCCTTTCTCTGGAAGCAAACTCCAAAGTTGGCTATATTCTTGAATCAGTACCTGTCAGGATAAACAAAAACCCTTTCTTCTTAAGAAAGAAAGTTCCGTACTGCAGCAAATAAATGGAAGCTAAAAAGAAAACCAGGTATGAAGAATGTGATTGAAGAATTTGCTGTCTGTGCATAAATTTAGGGTGGTGGCTCTTGCATGGAAGAGAGATCTCTGAGCTGCTACTTTAAAGGATGCTTGGTGACCTACAAAGGTAACACAACTCAATAACATTAGGCACTGATGTTCTCATTGTGAAGCGGATCCCGAGATGCAAATGCCCCCTGATCTTCTACTGTCTGATTTAGGTCCCTGCTATATCCCTGTGCATAGTCTGAACAGTCTATTCACTGAACAGTTTTATAGTAACAACAAAAGCAATAATATGTTGGTAATATTGTCAATGTCTACCCTGGAGAATATCAGTGAATCATGAATATGGATTTAAATATAATACGTACAAATAACAATAGCAAGCATTTATTGAGCAAGTACTATGTACCAGATACTACTTAAGGCTCTTTACAATAATTAACTCACTTAATCCTCATAACTTGTAAGATACCATTACTCCTGCTTTTCAGCTTAGAAAACTGAGACACACAAGGCTACTTGCCCAAGGATAGCCCACTGGGAAATAAGATTCACACTGAACCAATGTGGCTTAGACCTGTGCTTATAGTCTGTCTGAAAAATGAATCTTTGTAGCAGACTGACGGTAATTTTTAGATAATAGAAATCTTTTGTAAATCACAGAATTTGATTATTACTATGCTTTCAAAGGTGTCTTGGTTACCTCTCATTTATTAGGTACTCACTGATGCATAAATGGACAAAAATGTCATAGAGGAAGACTATGATTGCCATGGTATTAAAGATAAATTTGGAATGATGCTCAGAGCATATATTCTAGAAAACTTTTAGAGGATTTGGGGAAAACTATGTCCAGGTAGTATCTTTACACATGTGACATATGATAATATTGGAGAAAGGGCTTGCCTGCTTTGGGAGTAATGTCCAAATACTAATTCTTACAGCAATGAGGGGTACTGCTTTACTGCTTTACATGCCATTACCATACTTAGTGTGAATGAAATTGAAGAGTGGATATTGGTGGAAAGTTCAAGCATAGATACTGTTTTGAATTGTCTTAAGAAATCAAAGGGCAATAGCAGTAACTAGAACATTCTACAACTATTGACTGGTAAGATATTTAGCTTTTGGGGAAGTCCTAAATTAGCCTGGAATCATTTTTAAATGCAGTTTTGTAATTTCAGTGATGCGTTACATGAAACTCAAAGAGCCACAAAATAATTCACGTGTAAGTGAAGAGTGTGTTGGTTTAAAAGATGAGCCTGCATTCTTCTCCCTTTACCCAGATAATTCTTAATCATCTTTGAGATCCCAGCGGAAATGTCTCTTTTGTGGTTTTGCTTTCCTTGATGCCCTAGATGAGGTTAGACTTACCAATACCCCAACTTCTACATGCTCCTAAAGAGATCTATATTTTCCTTTCAAGTTAAATTTTAATCTTAGTGAATCACTTAAATTATGATTTGTTCATACCTCTTTTCTTTTTGAGACCATAATTATATTTAACAATTATTGACTTCTTATCCTATGTAGCTCTTTTCTCATTGCTTTGGACAATGTGTGGCAAAGTCCTCACTGAATCCCAGGAGTCTAATAGGTATTTGTGAATGAATAATGCATGAGGAGTGAGTAAGTGAATGAATTATTTGACTAATTCTCACCTCACTAAGTCACCCCTGGCCCAGCAGTGTACTGTGTACCTTTATGTTACAAATCATTTAACTTTAATTTCGCCTGGTAGGTGAAGTGTCCCAAAAATTTGTAAAGATAAAACTGTGCTTTTGGGGGTTCTCCTACTGCTCCCCCACTCGCTAAGAGTCAGCAGCTGGAAAAAGGTTCATTTTTGTTTTTCTTTATAACTCTAGAGGAATCCTGAATGAGCCCTGCCAAGTAATCTCAGAGACTGAGCCACAGATAGACAAAGATGGAGAACACAGAGCTCACCCGCAGAGTACTGTTTCTCATCACTAACTGTGCTTTCTCTCAGTCCTGGCTTTTTATGCTCAGGATTCTGGGAGAAATTTCACCTTCCTTACTTCCTAAGGGATATCCAGTTTCCTGGTCTGGGAGCTGAGAGCAGAATTAGTCAATTAGAAGGTTAACACATAATTGTAGATACTGGGTGTTTGGAGACAACCCTTGACCATTTGCTAGTTAACTGAATTAATATTGGCCAGTTATAGATTTTCTGCTTGCAAAATTGCCGGCAGATTTTTCTGACTCCTGGGTCTGCATTCTGTGTATGTGCCACTTGGGATGCCAGCATGATGATTGCTTTCAGAGTGATCTAACCAGAGCCTGCTCTCAAGACAAGGGAATCCATGACTCACAAGCGGAACTGCACAGATTCTGGACCACAGCATTCTTTTCCCTTTGATTTGAGGGAGATGATGTTGGTCAGGGTGATAACTCCCGATTTCCATTTCTCTGATGGTGTTCAGGTCAGCCACACGGTGAACCTCTTGAGATTGATTCTTGCTCCCTTCTTTGGGGTTCAGTGCCTTTCAGAGGGCTGATATTTAGAGAGAAGCCCTGGTTCCACAGCTTCCAACCTTTTGACACTGCTTTGAGTTCTCCGGTGGGGATGATAATGAATTTTCTTCAACTGTCTGTGTGCAGTGGTTACGATTTTGCGGTCTGATATTGAAGTTTTGTTTTCTAAGAAACAGACACATAGTAGAGGATTTGAGTGCAAGTAATTTGAGTGATGGCAGAAATTGGTTTAAGAAAAATACTAGTTGGGTGCAGTGGCTCACGCCTGTAATCTTGACACTTTAGGAGGCTGAGGTAGGTGGATCACTTGAGCTCAGAAGTTCAAGAACAGCCACATAGTAAAACCTCCTCACTACAAAAAAATAGAAAAATTAGCTGGGCATGGTGACTAGTGCCTGTAGTCTCAGCTACTTGGGAGGCTGAGGTGGGAGGGTCGCTTGAGCCCAGGACGTTGAGGCTGCAGTGAGCCATGATTGAACTCCAGCCTGGGCAGCATGGCAAGACTTGGTCTCAAAAAAAAAAAAAAAAAAGAAGTTTTAAAAGTTAAAAAAAAAATAGAAAAAGTACGAATAGGGAATGAGGAAATAAGTCAAGGAAGAGAAGGCAGATAATGAATGTGAGTTATCAAACCAGATACTCTGGTGGACATTGGCGCTCAGCCCCAGGTAGAAACTGGGAGACAAAAATGCGTATCTCCAAGTGGTCCCACCAGAGGGGTAAGGGAGTTGGGGTATTTACATACCATTTCCCATCAGTTATTGGTTAAGGGCCACTCCCAGGATGTTAATTTTCAAACACTCTTTTCTGGCACTATGTACAGATAAAATACCCTTCCACAAGCTTTAGAGACATATCTCAGATGAAGAAAAAAAAAAATGCAAAGTCTTGCACATTGACACAGAAGGTCTGAGGGGAATGGGTAGGGCTCTGACAGAGTGCCTTTCAGGACACTTGAGCCTAGAGTCAGATGCTGGCTGCACCCATTCTAACCGTATGATCTTAGGCAAGCTTATTAACCTTTCTAGAATTTTGGATTCATCTTCTATAAAATATACCTTATAACAATACACATTTCATAGGCCTGCTGTGGAGATTAAATTAGATGATGTATATGGTGAGTTTAACACAGTAATTACCAAATAATAAGGGCTCAAAAATGGTAGCTTTCATTTAAGTGTTATGGAGCCTCTTCTCTGTCCCTGGATGTGTGGTAGGTGCTCAGTAGAACTGGTGGTTGGTTGTGGTGGGGAGGTAATCCCTGTTTTTATGGGGTTGTAGCCTTTGCGTACTAAACCTTAAGACCATTTCTTATTTCACTAAGTTACACCTTGCCCAGGAGAGAGTCACTTACATTCCATACATTATGTTCCAAATCATGTAACCTAATTTTTTGACCATTGGATGAAGTGTCTCAAGCATCTGCAAAGACAAAATTGTGCCTTTGAAAGCAATTGTAAATTTTAAGTTTTATAGTAGCCAAGTTTACAAAAGGAATAAGAAACTGATGACATTAATTTTAATAACATATATTTAGCTTCATATGTAAAATATTGTCATTTCAATATGTGATTAATATAAAATTATTGACTATTTTACATTCTTTTCCTTATTTAGGCATCAAAATCCAATTTGTATCTTATACTTACAACATGTCAATTTCAGACCTATGACCTTTAAAGTACTGAGTAGCCACCAGTGGCTCATGGTCACCAATATTGGGCCACAGTGAAGGCTTAACAGGCCCTGGATTCCTTTTAGAGGTAAATTCCAACAGAATAGTTACATTTTCTCTTTCCTCCTCTTCATAGATGACAATGCTTCTTTGCTTGTATAAAAATGAAGTTGGTTTTAGCTTAGGCATCATGGAAAATTGACAGTTTCTGTAATAAAATTTCACACATGGAAACCATGGTGAGAATCTTAGCAGGTGTAAAAATCTGACGAAGTTATTTCTTTAACTGCAACTTAATGGAAACTGCAGCAGCTGTTCCATTTGCGTGTTCTCCAGATCTCAGTGCCAGAAAGAATTGTTGGCAGCCACTGGAAAAGTATCAACTTACCTCTTCATTTGGGAAATGAAATGGAAACCTCAGCTTATTTCTAAAAGTTGCAGATTTGGTGAAAGTTAGCAGGGCAAACACATAAGCCGCTATTAAAATATTGATGGCTTCGGTTTTCTCAGGTGCTGCTGCTAACATCTGCAGAAGATTTGGACTGCACTCCTGGATTTCAGCAGAAAGTGTTCCATATCAATCAGCCAGCTGAATTCATTGAGGACCAGTCAATTCTAAACTGTAAGCAATGTCACTCGAAGATGCTTTTAGACTCTGCTCTTATTTGAATTTGCTAATGTTTATGACTGTGTCTCAGGATGTGGTATTTCCTAAACTAAATGTTTTCTGATTATTTTTCATATGTCACTGCTTGACCCAAGATGGAAATTCTTGAATTAGGGGCTGGTCAACTTAGAGGTTGATAGAGTGATGTGCATCTCTTTTTAGTATTTTATCATCAGTGGGTATTTGCAGACTGCTCTCAGAAAAGGGAGCTGTCAGCCTCCAATGAGAGTTCTACACTGTGCAAAGGAAATGAAATTCATTTCCCCTGGGCAGACCCCCAAGAGCAAAATCATTGCCTTCTTGCAGATTGCTGTTCTACCTGTAGTTTCTCATACATGGCATTAGATCAAAATAATGGTGAGAGTATGACATTGGCTTCCGGGAATTTTTAGACATAGGAATCAAAAACTCTTATTCTTAAGGCTAACAAGATGGTCTTTAGAAAGATTCAAAACCTCTACTGATTATTCTGTGGATTAAACTCAAATCCTCCCAAATTCCTATTGATTTATTTACAATATGCCTCCCTTATATCTGTGGTTATGATCTCTTTCTATTTTTAATGTCAATATTATATTGTTTTATCTTTAAGAAGTGTTAGGGTACATTGCTAAATGCATAACAAGTACAGTGTTAGTACAATGGAATTTAAAATTGATGGTAGACAAATAACCATTTAATTGTAGGCTCTTGAGTACCTTGCTTAACAGTTGGAAATGAAGAATATGGAAACAATTGATCTAAACTGATCAGATGCAGCCAGGCATGATGGCTCACGCCTGTCATCTCACCACTTTGGGAGGCCAAGGAGGATGGATGGCTTGAGGCCAGGAGTTCAAGACCAGTCTGGGCAACCTGGTGAAACCCCATCTCTACTAAAAATACAAAACTTAGCTGGGCATGGTGGCACACACCTGTAGTCCCAGCTACTCGGGAGGCTGAGGCAGGAGACTCGCTCGAACCCAGGAGGTGGAGGCTGCAATGAGCCGAGATCGCACCATTGCACTCCAACCTGGGTGACAGAGCGAGACTGTGTCTCAAAAAAATAAAATAAAATAAAATAAGCTGATCAGATGCTCCAAGGTCTTTGCAAGGAAGGTGATTCCACATTGGCCCTTGTGGTCTCAGGTTTGCCTTTGACACTAGCGAAGTTCCTTCAGTCCTATGGTATGTGGCTAACAAGTTTAAAGGAAAGAAAAAACAAAGGCACACTGGACTGGATTATTCTGTGAGGCTGGGACACACTGGAGGAGTCTAAAGGAACACATTAATGAAGACGTGCTGTTGAGCATCAAGGGAGCTGTCCAAGGTGAAGCCTGTGCACCTCCTGATGAAATGACGCCAATGAAATCGTTTCAATAATTAGAGTCTGTAATGACAAGGTGCAGGGCTGGCACAATAAGTGAATTCCAATATGTGATTTCCTGCTAATTTGATCTCTGAGTATGACTCCTGGGTCTGGCCATCAGGAACCCTCATTTGTCTTTTCATTTTTGTATTTATCAGAATCAATATATTTCAACAGAACTTGATTTGTGAGAACCATTTTTCTGGCTCTCCTCTCCTCTCTTCCTGTATCTTCCTTTTATTTTTTTTTTCTAAGTGATTATCCCAAATGGCATCTACGTTAACATGCTTGGAAATGCGAAGCCACCCTGAGTATGGAAATTAATAGAGTTGGTATGCAAAGTAGACCTATAAATGTGATTGCTTCTGTAATCTTCAGGATACCAAACAGCTTTTAATTTGCTGCTGAGAAGCTGGAAACAATCATACTATGGGGGATCTTTTTAATTTAAAGTAGGCCATACTGTACATTCCAGTATCACAGTTGTGTGTGTGTGCGTGTGTGTGTATGTGTGTGTGTGCGCGCATGCTTTAATCCCCTAAGTAATTAAGTGGGTTATGGTTATTGGTTCTGGGTAAGCTAGTAAATGCTAAATGGGACTAGGTTGATTATGAATGATAACACGTTCAGAAAAAAGTCAGTGACACGAGAATTGAGAACACTTAAATTTTTATGCTTGTGTATGAGTTGTTGAGTAAGCAAAATTTGAGTAGCCCCTCTCAGTGAAACCGTATGTCCATGTATATTACTAGAGTAAAAAAACAAATACAAAGCAGATATGGTTAGGTACTTTCAAGTTCATCTCAAAGCAATGAACACATTATGAGTATAGAGCCTGCAGATAAGGTTAATTGTGCCTAAATGAGGAAGAAAATTGTCATAGACTTGAGAATGCCTATTGAAAATAGTTTAGGAAAATCTGGGTTTCCAGAAGTGGTAGCAGTGCTTTGCTTTCTTCCACTTGCAAGTAGAGGTAAAAAGCCCCAAATATTGAATAAACTTTTATACCTAACTGACCAATATTTTCAGCCAGTCTCGCTCTCCCCTCTGTCTCTCTCATTCTCAGTTTATTTCGTGTGTGTCTTATAATGCAAAACAAAAACCTTCTGTCTCTGAAAAATGTGATTAATCAAGAAACCAATGAGTGATGTGTGCTATCAAATTGAAGACTCTACTGGCACAAGGCTAAATCTGAATGAAAAATGAAAAGAACCAAGTAGAACCAGAAAATTTAAAATGCATAGATTCCATTTCCTGAATCATTGTATACCAAAGATCCAGGAAATGGTTAGGGATATTTTAGTCTCGTCTAAATATAGGCCAGTGTTGTACACAATAAGGAAACTAGATTAGTAACATCATCTTGTGCCCTACTCATGACATTTGCACTTTACATTTTTCCTTTATCTTTGCAATATTTAAGAGCTTTAGTTACCAATCATTGTGAACTTTTGTGTTGCAGAGGGGGTAAACACAGCATAACCAATCAATTGATGTCTACACTCTTCACTCTTCTTTAAAGTTGTCTGAAAGTGCTGTCTCTTTGCCTGACAGACATAGTATATCTACCCCTACCTTAGACTTGTATTCATCCAATTCTGTGTTCAGCTTTTAGCAGGTTATGGGGAGTGTTTATTCTGTGGATGGCTTCCTGCTATCTTTGTTCAGACAGTAATATTTCCTTTTATCCTTTTTCATCTTCCTCCTCAATTTTCAATGACTTATCTTTTTCTACTTTAACTGTTACTAATGGTCACCTCCACTCCTTTTAGTTCCCTAATATTTTATTCACTGTTATCTCTGATACATCTTTCTCTCAGTTGTCCTAAAGCCTTTTATTTCCTTCACATCTGAATCACTCTTTATTCTACTCTCCTTTCCACTAACTAGACTTGCTTTCGTCTTAAAAAAGCCATTTTTCAACAAGCTGCTGGGATCAAAACATAGCATTTGGCTATTTCTTCTAACATAACCAGGGGGGCTCTTCACTGCATCTTTCAGAGAATGATGCAAAGCCCCCAACTCATGAAAACTTGCGTAAAACTTTCTTGGCTTTATCTCATTCTTGAAAGTTTATCTGGGAAAATGTGATCCTTCCCATTTTCAATGAGAAATACAGAAAGAAAGGAGAAGTCAGCTTAGAAGGCAACAACTCAGAAAGGAGGCATCCATTTAAGGTTTTTGAATTCAGAAAGGAATCTGTAAAAAGTTTGTGGGAGGGGTTTTCTAGAGGTCTGGCACACACAACTCCCTCAAATTGCCCAGCATGGTAGCTCTTGCTTTTCCCTGAACATGACAATTGTGTGATCTGGGAGCTACAGAATTGGACAGCAACCCTGGTTCCATCCTGACACACAGAACAGAAGATCCCCAGTCTTAGAAGAATAGCTGTCTTGGGCAACTGACCAGCCACCCAGCTGGGATGGGAAGATACCAAGTGATAAAATCTGACTATCCTATGTTCTGCAAAATTATAAAACAGAATAGTCTGCTTTGCTACCATCAGCTCAGACAGATTTTTTCAGCAAATATAAAAATGTGTGGTCATTGAGCTCATTAGGAGAAACCATACCTTTGACCTCCAGCCTCTATTAGTAGGGGATGAGTCCAGTCTTTGGTGTCCGGAAAGGAGACCCTCATTGGCCACATAGCCACCATTAGAACTGTACTTTTTTTTACCCTGTTAATTCTTTATGGATCACTCCTCTTAGGCTACCCATATGCAAACACAGACATATAGATACAGAGAAAAATTGCAGCATCTAAGTTTACCTACAATACAACTTGCATCACATGTTTAGTAAAGAACTTACATTAACCAGAGCAGGCTAGGCTAGGCCATGGTGTCAAACAACCCCAGTGACTTAACACAATGAAAGTTTGTTTCTCACTTAGATCATGCAGATGCAGTCGGGCTGGTCTCCTGGGTAACTCTCCTCCCAGTAGTTGCCCTCCATGCAAGAACCTGATGGCTGAGGCTACTTCCAGCTTGGTCCTGCCACCTTGTAGCTTCCAGCTTTTGTTACTGAGCTGGCAGACAGGGGAATAAGAAAGACTATGAAGAGATCACTACATGTGTTTAACTACCTCAGCCCCAAAGTCGCATGTATCATTTCTGCTCACATTCTGTTATAAGATCTATTCATGTTGCCAACCTAATTGCAAAGGAGTCTGGCAAACAAGAAGAACACATGGGAATTGATGTGCAGGATGACAGTCTCTACAAAGATCCTAACAAAATGATGTTGCCTATATCAGAAAGAGACATAAATAGAGACAGAAATGGACCACAAAGGAGCCAGCTGTCTCAGAGTAACCAGGGCCTACATAAGATGAAGTTAGTCAGTTTAAGCAGAAGAGCAAGGTCGTGCACCTGCGACTATGTCCTGCTTTCCTTAGTAGAGAAATCTTCCCACTGAACAGAATTAGCTTCTTAGAAACACTATAAGCCCCTCGCTTTGTGCCGTCTTAGAAACACTAGGGGAGAGACCGCACCTACTTGTGGTTCTAGTAAAGATGGACTCCAGTTGTTTCCTCCAAATGTTTACAATACTGTGGTTAAGATCACACAGTTTTAAACTCATATCGACTAGAATTCAAATGTGCA